TCATAACTCTTTTTCATTTCTTGAGTCGAACCTTGAGGACAAGGTTCTCGTTGAGGACGGGAGTATTGTTGTGAATGGGGGCAGACCAAAATGATGCACTTGGGCTTGGGAATGGTTTACGCCGGGGTCAAGTGGTTAAACAGCCCAACACAACATTACTGGACTACCTTTGGGACCCGGGTTGAGGTACACGTGTCGAAGAGTTACTGGGCAAGAAGAAATATAGTTGTTATAATTATCAGTTTGTGCGAGGAGGAGGGCATGCCAATTATGTTGAGGCTTCGGTTGAGTCTGTTCCTCTCACCTCTATCTTCCTAATGTCTGAAGCTTCTCATCCCCTTCTGGTTATCCTTTCCTTGCTCCTTTAATTCCTAGTTAATTGTTGTTCTTCAATCCATTAGTATTTCCTTTTACAGTGTAATTTCTTTAAGTGATTGTGAAATATAAGTCTTTATTTCTATTGTGAATTGGTTTGTTACACACCCATCTCCGTGAAATCTAACATTGGCAATTTCTTCAGCTTCCTAGTTGTGGGGTTCTATAGAAATTTCTACTCTAAACCAATAATCACACGAATCAACCCATTAGAACCCACAATCCGAGCAATATTTCCGTGGGAGAATACGTGTCAATTACCTCAGTCCTTGTTTCTGTGTGAAATAAGGAAGTTAGATAGCATACCCTGGAATTGTTTAGGCTGTTTGGAACTAGAATGCATTTTTTGTGATTAGCTGTTGCTAATTTCATATGCATCTTCACAAATTCAGGGTTAAAGGTTTGTTAGGATCGAAAAATCGGATAGTGCGAAATTTAGCCAAACTGTTATAATGACAATAATAAATACAATGCAAGTTGATAACAACGACAATTAAAGCATATAAAGAAGACATAAATTTAACGCGGTTCGGTCAAAGTGAACTACATCCACAAGTGGATGGGAGCAAATTCACTATACCAATAAGAGTACAAAATTAGAGTAACTACTCTAAGTAATCCCAAATAACCCGAAAGAATGACCTCACAAGATCACTCCAAATAAAGGGGATTACATAAGTATTTTCCAACACTCAACTCTCTTACAAATAACTCTCAATAAAGGAGGAAAGGAAGAAACAAGAAATGAAGACTCAAGTCTTGTGGGTGTGTTGAAAATGAACTAATGGCCTTTCCTTCTATAGGCAAAAATGCCTTGGACTCCAAGCTGTAAAAGAAAAGATACAACTTGTGCAAACAATATCCACCACACAATGCAATACTTTTGGTCCCAAAGAATATTGCCAACAAAGTCTACTTTGCAAATAAGCTTATGTTTATGTGAGATGGACTCCACTAGTCAAATATTGGTCATATTACAAATCTACACCTTGGCCTAATTTTGACTGATATAATAAATTTGCTCCACCTTCTCCACAAAAGCCCATATGGGCTAAATCATTCTTCATAAATAGCAATCAAGTTCAAGCGGAGCTTGAACTTACCAACTGGAATACGCTTTACGAACATGTCAGCAGGATTGTCTCTAGTATTGATCTTCTGAACAAAGACTTTTCCATCAGCAATGGTTTCCCGGATAAAATGATACTTGATGTTAATATGCTTCGTCCTCTCATGATACATTTGGTCTTTAGTCAAGTGAATGACACTTTGACTATCACAAAAAATAGTAATACCACCTTGGTGTAAACTGAGTTCAGCAAATAGACCCTTCGACCATAAGGCCTCTTTGATAGCCTCGGTCACTTCCATATATTAAATTACATACCGCAAGACAAAAACTTAAGCATGTTTAGTCTGAAGTTTTAGTAAATGAACTAAAAAACTTAAGCAAGTTTAGTCTGAAGTTTTAACAAATGAACTAAAAATTTTAAGCATGTTTAGTCTGAAATTTTAGCAAATGAACTAAATAACTTCAGCATGTTTAAACTCATGAAAAAAATGTAGACTGCAAGATATATAACTTCAGCATGCATTAGCATGAACTTTTAGCTTCAACTTGAAACAACTTCATGCAAGTGTGATTCTGAAGATGAATCTGGATAAGTTTCTAATTTTTTGATAAAGCTGCTGAGAGGAGAGGAGGAGGTCTTTTTTCACGAATGAGGTTGCAAATCACGCGATTAATGCGTGATGCAGGTTTTATATCTTTTGTCAGAGGTGTAATTGTCATATTATTACGGATTTTTTGTCAGCTGGCTACCAAATCAATAATTTTTAAAAATAGGGTACATGTTAAAAGGTGGTACAAATATAGGGTACGACTGCAAATCCCCTGTGTTCCACAATAGGTATGATCGGGTGAAATTCAAAAATAACCAGATTTACAACTGGTCGTTCAAAAATAGCCCAGTTTCAAAAGTAATCGAAATTTAGCCACTTTTCATGTAAAGAAAAATCTGAGCGAAAACACTATTCAAAATCCGAAAAAATACGCCAGTATATTATGCTAGAGTTTCAGCATAAGTTTATTGGGAAAAAACTGAATTTAAATATTGAAGATGACGTGTCATGACACGTGGACCGGTTAAATAGTCAAAGCGTGGTAATCAGTTAGAAGACACGAGCAACAACAGATGCAAGAGAGAAGATACTTAAAGGTACGAGCTATTATTCAAATGAAACGAGACTCGTACTTGTTCGAGTCATTTAAAGCTCGAAGATCAGAAGGAATTGAAGACATGAATCTGATAGCGAAAAAGAGTCCAAATTCAGCATTAAATGCCAAATACGTTAGAGAATTTGTATTTAATAGGAATGATTGAGTAACGTTTCTTTTAATGTCATTTATTGCTCGTAATTGCCTCATTAAGACAAAGGCATTACACTTTCTCTTAGAATTAACTATAAAAGGAGAAAGTCACAACATCTGTAGGAGACGGAAAAATATTACTGGAATAAACTGTGTTCTTTTTGCTTTCTGATTATATTATTCAAAATCTCTTTCTTATATACTTTTCCGATTATCAGTAATCCGAGTTCTTCTAAATTCAAGCTTTGACCTAAAATCTAATTTTTGGTTAAACAATAAGTATACTTGAACTCCAGCATATTAAACTGGAGTTCCAAGATAAGTATGCTGGAACTCCAGCATAATATGATGGAGTTCCAGCATAAGTACACTAGAACTCCAGCATAATATACTGGAGTTCCAGCAAGTATACCGGTCCAGCATAATATACTGGAGTTTGGAGCACCGGTGCTCCAGTCTCCAGTGTATTATACTGGAGCCAGCAAAGTATACTGGTCCAGCATAATATGCTGGAGTTCATACACAGGTGCACCGAACTGCAGTATATTATGCTGGACCGGTCTCTGCTGCAACAAAATAGTGGCTATTTTTTATAGACTTGGTAAACGCTGGCTATTTTTGAATGACCAGTCCGAAAACTGGCTATACCGTGCTATTTTAACGGTATGATCACATATTCACATTCACTATTTTACCATATATGATCCAAACGGTGTTGAGCATTTACTAAAATAAGATTTTACTTATTTGAGTACGCTTATAAGTTGGTGACCATCGTATAAGTATTTTCTTCATTTATTTACACGTGTGATAAACACAAAAATTACTTATAAATAAAAATAAATCAGAAGTTATAAGTTGATTACCCCAAACTTGTAGCTTTTCGACTTATGAACATATTTGATTAGACCAAGTTTTTTTATTCTTGTACATCTGCTACATATTTTTGTAATTCCCGAACACCATTCCCAAAAGAAAACCTCTAACTTCCTCTATCTCTCATCCTTCTCTATGGAATGATATTTTTTAAATTTATATGTTTTGTAATTAAAGTGTTTATCTACACATTTTTATCAAATACATCAGTGTATTGTCAAATTCAGTACTTCTATCCAAACACGCAACTACTTATTTATATAATTAAGTATAAAAAAGTATATCTTAGCACTTTCAGTATTTTAAAGTGCTATTTAACACTCGATATCTATTGTAGTTACTTCCAATCAGCTACAATAACTGGACTATTAAGCAAAATAATCCTAGGATATAAATTTAGTATCGCCTTATCTCAAAATTAAAAATAGTACCGGGATAATTTATACCTGTCAGAAGGTGGAATAGTAGTCCCAGAATAAGTTATCACAAGATAAAGCGATAAATTTAACAACCTCAAGATAACTAATACAACATACCAAAGGCCGGGCGTACGGGAACCGTCGAAGAAGTGCCTCAACGCGCCGCATCCACTACTTTGACTCCTTTTATGCTACGAAGGGACTTAGAAAAACCTACTACCAACCTCTCTGCTTCCTATACTTAGAAAATATGAATAATACTGAGATAACTAATCTCGGTATAACTAATTTTAGCATAACTTGTCTTCAAACCAAACAATCCCTAAATTTATTGGTCTTAACTTAAATTCTATACATGCCTTTGCACGTTGGGATAAACTATGAGTTGGATCTATCAAAGCCCATCTCAATTCAGTCATAATGGTAAAAATAGCACGAGCTAGCCAGTTTTCGGGCTGGTCATTCAAAAATAGCCAGCGTTTGCAAATTCATTGAAAAATAGCCACTATTTTGCTGAAACACGAAAAGTTCCAGCATAATATACTGGAGATCGTTGCACCTGTGTATGAACTTCCAGCATATTATGCTGGAACTCCAACACGTGAAAAGTTCTAGTATAATATACTGGAGCTTGGAGCACCGGTGCTCCAATCTCCAATATATTATGCTGGACCGGTATATTATATTGGAACTCCAGTATATTATACTGGAGTATTTTCCAAATTTTGAACAATCTTTTTGTTCAGATTTATCTTTACATAAAAAGTGGCTAACTTTAGATTACTTTCGAAACTGTGGCTATTTTTGAATGACAACTTGTAAATATAGTTATTTTTGAATTTCTCCGCTTGCTTAAACCCATAACTATTAATGGGCTCATATTGTTGGGCTTATAGGCCCGTCTGATTCAATCAACTAATATCAACCGTAGGATCTAGGGCTGTCCGAGTAATATACACTACATATATTTTCCTTTCGTTTAGCCCTTCTGCTTCAGCCCCCAAAACAAAGAAAGAAGCTACAGAGAGAATAGCAGCGCCGCCGTGAAAAATGGTCCAACGACTAACTTACCGTAAACGGCACAGCTATGCCACCAAATCTAACCAACATAGGGTTGTTAAAACCCCAGGTACGTACCCTGTGTTATACTCTTTTATTCTCTTTTCTATTGCATTTCTTGTTTTTATGATTATATGTATAAGTCTTTTTTGGATACTGAATTAAGTTTTGTGCTTTGTTGGGCGTTGAAAAATGATGTTAAATAGGTGGAAAGCTGATTTACCAGAGTACCAAGAAGAGGGCAAGTGGACCTAAGTGCCCTGTTACTGGAAAAAGAATTCAAGGGGTATGTTTTTTTTCTGCTCTTGAATATGTGTTAACTATGTTTTTTAATGAATGTCATTGCTACATTCTGATTTGTTTTTGTATAAGTACTGATTTTTCTGTTAATGTGTTTGTTTCCAGTGATACACTGAGATTTAGCATAAACCCATAACTTGCCTTAAAAGGCGAAAGCAAACTATTTAATATTTGGATAAAATGGACCTGAATATAGTCGAATGAATTGCTGGTGGGAGGTGGTAGTTATACTGTGGAATTAGTCTGAAGTGCGCGCATGCTGGCCCGGACACCACAGTTATCAAAAAAATATAGAGGATTCATCTAGCCTGACTTATTTGGGATTGAAGTTTAGTCAATCCATTGATCTATCTGTGTGCTAGTTGATTTTTATTTGCTAGAGGATAAATTAAAGCCTCGGGATTTCACATTTCTAGAATGTATGGGAGTGGCAATACCTGATAAGTTTGTTGGAAAACTAGGGATAAGTGTTGGTTATTGTGTGATAGTATTGATATCCCCATGATTTACACGAGTATAAGCTTACATGTTTCAAGTATCAAACCAAAGGAAAAAAATTTGAGTGTTTAATTTTCAGTATCTTTTAGTAAGAAGTGCAATGTTAGTTGATCTGGGGAGTAGTTGAACCATTGGAAGTGTGTTGATGTTTTGCATTTGTAAATTGTCAAACAATAGAGTCATTTTTAGTAATACATGGTTTTATTGTGAGATTATTGTTTCCCTCTCGTGTTTTTTTTCCATAGAATCATTTACTTTCCTTTTCTTTATGTCAACCGGCCTATACAATCATCAACTTTTTGTTCTCGCCTTATAAGAGAAGCCATCAAATTGTTACTGTTTTTTCATTAAACAAGATTTACTAACAATGCACATGACAAGAAAAAGTGAAACGAAGTTTCCCTCTCGTGCTAAATTCTTTCCTTTTATGTGACAGCCTTGTGTTTTCCAAAATAATAACATGTAATTTGCAGTAAGGTTATCTTTAGGACTCTTGAGATTATTTTTCCAAAAAAATATCTAGCCAAGTTGAAAAAGTTCACTAGAATAGTTTGGTCAATCAACACTGTTCAAGCACAAGGAAAAAATCGAAGCTTATTTTAGATTTCACATTATTATATAATGTTTGCCTGGACTGTATTTTCAATTGAGTGTCTGGGTGCTAATTTGAAACCATTTTTTACAATTGAGTGTATAATCTAATGCTGGTTGGGACTGCAAGTCAGCTATTCATTTTTTTGGTATACTTGCTATTTGAGGGGTAGCGTTCTGAAGAACAAAGCTTTGTGATATAACTGTGTTTTAAATCATGAGATATTGTGTAGCAAATAGGTATTTTACCATCTTCCCTTTAATATATAGTGCCTAAATATATCGTGAGTAGATTTTCATGTCACTACAGCATTTCTAATATTGTGAGGATAATTACTTCGTCAACTACCCACATGCTCTCTGGTAGCTGATAGCAATTTGCATTCAGATGCGGTGTCTTTTGATTATGCAGTTGTTTCAGGTGTCATCATTTAAATGACTTGAAACTGTTCCTTTTGCAGATTCCTCACTTGAGGCCTACTGAATACAAGAGGTCAAGATTGTCAAGAAACAGGAGGACTGTGAACCGTGCTTATGGTGGTGTGTTGTCAGGCAGTGCCGTACGTGAAAGGTATATTTGTGGTACACCAGAGAGTATTCTCAAACAAAATTAGTGTTCTTCCAACTTACCTGATAATGTTTGTACAGGATCATAAGAGCCTTTTTGGTGGAAGAACAAAAGATTGTGAAGAAGGTTTTGAAGATCCAGAAAGCCAAGGAAAAGCTAGCTTCCAAGAGCTAAGCTTTCAATGCTTGGCGACGTCACTAGAGGAATGTATTTTGAGTTTTGGGTTTAAGATTCGTATGTTGCTGGTTTTTGCTAAAATGTGATATTGAATATTTTTCTTCAGTTTGTCGAAATATCGCATCTGCTAGGTCTCTGTTTCTGCCTTTCTCTGGGTATTCAAACTTCCTATGGATATTTGATGATATTTCAAGTCAGTATTAGTTCAGTTTTGCATTTTAATTGTTATACAAGATTGCTGGTTAGTCTATTTTGTTTCGTTACTGCAATTTGCAATCAGTATGAATACGTGCTTTACGTTTATTAGTATTCTAAAGTTAGTTTTTCTGATTGCTATTATTGGTATTTCAAACGCTACTGTTAGTCTCGGGTCTTAGTTTCGTTGTCATATCTCTTTTCGTTCTTTGTAAAGAGTAATTACATGGTAAGAGCTGCATGCTGATATGAACGTACACATTGTCCCAGAGGACAAGAATGTTTCAACGCTGTTATTCTGCTTACACTCTGCATTGCTTTTTTCTTGTATATAATGTATCGCTTTGCACTATATTGTTTTATGGATGTAATATTTGGATAGATCATATTGTTTGTGTTGTGTGATAATATTATCTCGTTTGACTGTATTATAAACTGATATATTTACTAAAATCTGCTTAACTGTTGTAAAATTATCGTAAATAACAGATTTATGAGTTTATAAATGGTTACTCACAAGAATAATTCAAGACAATTTTCTTCGTAATTTATAAGCAATTGTGCCTTGTAAATATATTCAAAACTTAAAGAATCATTGGCAAGAAAATGGTGAGAAGTGCCTGTTTAATTCAAAGGAGGATGGGGCTAATTTTTAGGAAGACAATACAGGTAAAGAGAGTAAATCTCACATGTCAAAATCAGTTGTTACATAAAATGAGTCTTTTCATCTGTTAGAAAATTTAAGTAACAATCAAAATAAACAACTGATTTAAATCAACAATACAAAGAGTAACAATGATCTAGACAAGAACAAAGATACAAGCAGCTATGGAATCATCTCACAGAATCAAGCATCCTGATTTAAGTTAAACTTCTTCCTTATAATAGCAACAAGATCATGGTGTGGTGGAAGATACTGTTTCATTATAGGCAAGTTTTTCAGAGCAGTAACAAGTGCAAAAAGGCATGAGTATTTCTCCAGGCTAAGATCTTCTCCTCCTCCAATAGCTTCATTGAATGCTTCAACATTACAAGCACTTGAACCTATTACAATATCAAGAATCCCTGGATTCTCACCATTCAGAAATGGTGTTCTTTTTGGAAAATCCCTTTCAATTCCCTCTTCAAGCACCTTTAGCACCTCATTTGATTCTTCTATTGCCTTGTCTTTTTCACTCCCTTTTGACACTAGAACAGCTGTTGAGCTTGGTCCAATCTATATTGCAAATTCAGGGAAAAGGTTAAGACTATCATAAATTTAATTAAGGTGCAGACTCGATATAGGTAAGTAACATATATATAAGTGTGTTTGGTGCAACGAAAGTCATTTTTATTTTGTGGGAAATAATTTTTGATGATTGGTTGGTGAGTGAAAAATATTTTTCTGAAAAAATATATATGGAATAATAATAATAATAATAATATTAACAAATAAGATAGTGCTTCGATGAAGTTTTTGAGTATTAAAGATTAATAAAGTGTAAATTGGAGAAAATCATATAAAGTAAAAGTCAAGACATTTGTATGAAAAAAGACTTCCGCTCATAAGTGAGAAAGTATTCCCCTTTTAATGGAAAATAGAGGAGCATAGGCTTTTGGTACTAGCGTGAGGGAGGAGGATCCTAGTAGAAACTAGATTTAGGGGCGAAGTAAAACGAATAAATTAGTTTATGTTACGACGATCTATATAGAAGGGCAGTTTTAGGGGTTGAAACAAATAAACTGAACCCATTTTCTAACAAAGAGGATTTAAAAAAAAGAAAAAACCTATGGATCCTAGGAATCGGAAAGAATGGATTCACAAGTTCATTTCGTCTTGAATTTTTCATGGAAAATATTTTCCTACAAAATAACTTTCTTCGTATCGAACACATCCGTAATTTTGTAGGTATTTTACCTTTTGATCATAATAGTTTATCCAGAAACGAACTTTGGCTCTCTCATAAGGCTCCTCTGGCCACAACTTGGGTTCATTTTTCCAGCAATCTTCGATATATTCAAGTATGACAATTGATTCAACAATAGGTTTCCCTTTGTGGACAAGAACAGGCACTTTCTTATGTATTGGATTGTAGTTGAGGAGTTCTTGACTCTTGTTTGTTAGATCTTGCTCTATGTACTCATATTCGATGCCTTTGATTTCAAGGGCAAGTCTAACTCTATTAGAATAGGAGCTGAACCAGGAGCCAAGTAAAACTACTTCAGTTTCTTTCTCCATAACCTTTAATTTGAAAGTGTTTTTTGATTTTTTTTCTATGGTATGATATGAGGTGTTATGTTCATGTTTATATAGAGTTTTCATTTGGTATTTTGGTGAATTAAGGGAAAGATAATACTAAAGTTGGAAGGGATGGAGTTCAAACATTTGATCATAAAGAATCATATTTGCTTTAGAATTATTGGAAACCCTAGTACTAAACAAACATAAATGTCAATGTCAATGTCAATGATGACTTTGTCAAAGTAAGGCTGCTAGCAAAAGTCGGTAAAAATAGCACGGTATAGCCAGTTTTCGGACTGGTCAATTAAAAATAGCCAGCGTTTACCAAGTCAATGAAAAATAGCCACTATTTTGCTGCAATAGAGACCGGTCCAGCATAATATACTGGAGTTCGGTGCACTTGTGTATGAACTCCGGCATATTATGCTGGACCGGTATACTTTGCTGGCTCCAGTATAATATACGGGAGACTGGAGCACCGGTGCTCCAAACTCCAGTATATTATACTGTACCAATATACTTGCTGGAACTCCAGTATATTATGCTGGAGTTCTAGTGTACTTATGCTGAAACTCCATCATATTATGCTGGAGTTCCAGCATACTTATTCTGGAACTCCAGTATAATATGCTGGAGTTCAAGTATACTTATGCTGGAACTCCAGCATAATATACTGGAGTATTTTTCGGGTTTTGAACAGTGTTTTCGCTTAGATTTATCTTTATATAAAAGTGGCTAAATTTCGATTAGTTTTGAAATTGGGCTATTTTTGAACGACCAGTTGTAAATCCGGCTATTATTAAAATGAGGAAACTACACAACCTACCTATGGGGCACAAACTAATTACCCGTTTTTGCCCATTTAAAAATTATTTACAATTTCTACTTATTTGATCCAAATCTATTTCCCGGCTACCCATTCCTCGTTCTCCCTTAAATTTGTTTTACTCAACATACCAAACAGTGCATTTTCCCTTTTAATAAAAGTCCCTAGCTTTCTCTTTGTGAAAAAGTACGAAATCCATTCAATAATCCAATAAGCTACCTTCGCTCATGTTGTGGTGCATATTTACCTTCGCATTTGAAGTACAGAATATTAATACATCAAGCTTCACTTTTGCAAGCTTACTTAGTAGCTATTACAATTTGATAACTAAATAATTTAGTCTTTTTTATTTTAAGTAGCACATACGATTGGGAAAACTACCCTATATACCTACTTAATCAAAAGTAATTACCCGTAATTACCCATTTTAAAAGCAATTATATCAAATACCTATTCTATTACAACTAATTCCCACCCACTCAATTCTCGCTTGCGATGGACATATCTAATTTAAGCAGCAAAAGTGTCAATCCTAAAAAGAAACCAAAGAATAGTTAGCATTTTTCAATAGTGGGCAGTATTGTTAGTATTGTACCTTTTTCTGCTATCTTCACCTTTTTTTATAATTTGTAATTTGTGCTCCATAATTTATTTTATCTTCTAAAAGTAAAACAAAAAATAATATGTACTATATAACTAAAATTTGAATTCATGCGTGTTGAAGTGTTTGCTGTTGAAATTTATTGGGTATTGTTCTTTGATTATGATAATAATGCTAATTTTAGAATATTTTATTGTACAAAAATTCAAATCCACCATTGAAGGAACTTGAAGCTTGAAACTCATAACTTGGTTTGTTTGAGTTTTTAATTGTTTTGATCCGATCCTATATGAGTTTGTTTGGAAAGTTGATTGGAGGTTGTAGCTAAAGTTTTAGTCAATTTGGTGGATATTTTGTAGTAGATTTTAGAAGTTAGGGTTGAAATATAGTTGAACAAGAAAAGAAGACGAATTTGTATTGTATACTCAAATATATACAATAATAACCATTTTGGTATACAATTCATTCAAACTATATACCCTATTAGTATAGCTATATACTATATTGGTATCATATGCTAGTCGAATCATTTTTTGGTTGTATTAGCTGCATTTATTAGTACAATATTTGATTTTCTTTTAATAATAGTAATATAGTACAATATCTTGAAATACTTTATTATATTGATATGTGGTACACTATTTTTTTATTTTTCTCTTATGCATGTGTGTTATGTAATGTAGTATAGTCATTAGTTGTCCGGAAGTTAAACCAGTAACACTATATACCATGTTGGTAGTTATATACCATATTGGTATCATATGGTAGTTTGAACATTTTTTTTGGTTGTTTTGGCTGCATTTTTAAGTGAATTCTATTTTGAAATTATTTATATGAACGTGATTTGCAGTGCTGGATTTTTTTTGTGCTGATGGATATAGATTATGTACTAGTTTTTATAATTATAGGCAATTGTTGGAACGACCCATACAACTATATACCCTGTTCGTATATGAATTGAGCAAGTTGCTTTGTGAATATTTAGCTTGCAATGCGAGCATGTAATTTTCTCATACTTTTATTGTATCCTTTAATGTTTTGGTACAGTAGTATAGTCACAGATAGTTGTAGCAATATTCTAAAGCAATCATATACTCTGTTGGTATACATGTATACCATATTGGTATCATATAGTACTAGAAGTCTTTTGTGCTACTTACATTTTTATTGCGTTTTTCAATATTTTATTATCATTTCTATTCTAACTAGTATATATGGAGATTTAGTGGCCGTAGATTATGTTTTCTTGCTCCATCACTAGTTGGTGTTACTGCTAATGGTAGAGTATGTACTGATATTTGTAGGGAGTCAAATTTGAGTGTGAAATAAGTTATGGTAAAAATAACAATAATACGATTTAGGCAAAAATAAATGAATAAAAGAGAAAAAAGAAAAAAATAGGAAGAATATGAGAAAAAAGAAAAGGAGANGAAAAAAGAAAAGAATCATAGAAATAAAAAAGAATTGGAGAATAAAGAATAAAATTCCCCACAAAAACTACCATGGGTAGGAAATGTAATTAGTTTATGGGTAGAAAACCAAATGGGTAGTCAAGGGTAAATAGTTTTATTTTTATGGGTAACTGTGTCAAACCCCCTTTTAAAATTTACCCCAAAAGTCGTTATATATATATATATATATATATAGATAACACACACACAGTCAGACCTCTCTATAACATCATCCTTATATAACAACATTTCACTATAAAAGCCAAGTTTTTTCGGAATCAAATTTCATGTTCTGTTATTATATATGTTTTCTATAACAACAATTCGCTATAACATCCAAAAATATCTTGAACAAACGAGACTGTTATAGAAAAGTTTGACTATACTAGGAGTACAAGATATACTTTTGCAGGTTAAATGATAAAATAATTTTTATGGTAATTTTAGTTCAATGTATATACATAATTAGGCCCCATTTAGGAGTGAAATTCAATCAAAGCTTACTCGTACTCACTGGCTCAATACATATACCAAACAAATAAATACATGCCACATGTTATCTTTGTTTTACATAAACTTTTTTTTTTACCCATAGCTAAGTAAGAAATATTTTTTTGGGAAAACCAAAAATTAATATAGAATTATTTTAAATTCGTAGGTCAACACATACAAAATCAATTGTAAAGCATACTCCATAAAAATTAATATTAAAATTATTTAAACAACCAGGTCACTTAACTACGTATAGTATGGAATGATAACTTGAAATATGGTGAATAAATTATTACAACATGCTAAAATATAATGATAATGTAGAAATCATTTACACTATTAATATATAAAATTACGATATTACTTCTAAAATAGTATACTTATCAAAGCCGGTAAAAAGTGGTAGAAATGGCGTGGGGTAGCCACTATTTAAGGTGATATTTATTTTTTATCCAGCAATTCTAATGTTGAGCAAAAATAGCTACTACTCTATTAAAATTGATATGAAAGACATTTTTACCCTTTCTTCCATTGCTTTTCTTCCCAAACCCTCGCTTCTCTCTCAAGTTCGATACCCACTCGTTTTTCGTTTTCTTTCCAGGAGATATCCTAGTTTCAATTTCAACATATTTTTCCTCTCAAATTCATTTCTCTATTCTTCCTTTCTACCTTCTTCAACCTCAGTCTCTATCTCTAATCCGTTCTCTTGTTCAATTATATGTATAGTCGAACAATGGAGTTTTCTGCTCACTCTTAGTTACCATATAATCATTTGAGTGACTACTACTTGTAATTTCTCATTTAGCAATAAATTCCCATTTTTTCGATTTAATTTATAATTTCAATTCTGAATAATATCACATTATAGCAGAATGGAAATAACTAGTAGCAACGGCGCCATTTCGACTAGAACTTAAGGACAATAGGTCCTGAAGTCCTTAAGTCTTGAACTTAGACTAACAAGCTTAAAAGTTAAGGACAATAGGTCCTGAACTTAGGATAAGAAGCCCAAAAGTTAAGGACAATAGGTCTTGAACTTAGACTAACAAGCTCAAAAGTTAAGGACAATAGGCCCTGAAGTCCTGAACTTAGAGTTACAAGTTCAAAAGTTAAGGACATGTAGTCCTGAAGTCCTGAAGTTAAGTTCAAAAGTTAAGGACATGTAGTCCTGAACTTAGAGTTCCAAGTTCAAAAGTTAAGGACATGTAGTCCTGAAGTCCTGAACTTAGAGTTACAAGTTCAAAAGTTAAGGATATGTAATCCTGAAGTCCTGAAGTTAAGTTCAAAAATTAAGGGCATGAGCAGAAGGGTATTTTCGTTCGGGCAGTTAAAGTTTATTAAAGCACTGGCTAAAGACTAAAGACATTTTAAACAGTGGCTTAAAAGTAAATACATGTGTTATTAGTAGCTAACCGTGCACTTCCCCCTAAAAAGTAATATATCAGATCCAACTCCAATTGTTTGGACTCCTCCTGCCTATTGCCTGTCTATCAGCCCAACATAATCTTTGATGGGCTTGAGCCTTAATGGTAAATTTAGGGGTGGCAAACGGGTGGGTCAGCTTGGATATGAGCGAGTCAAAATTGGGTAATGCAAAAATGGACAAATTATCTGACCCGACCCATATTTAATACGGATAAAAAATGGGTTAATCGGCAGATAATATGGATATCCATATTATGCATGGCTTCTTGAATATGATTACTTTTGGGAGAATTCCTAGTCTCCTTAACTTGAGGACCCCCAAATTTAAGGTTTTACAGTTGTAAAAGTTAAACCCATTAGTTATCCATTTTCTAAGTGGATAATATGGTTCTTATCTATATTTTGACCTATTTTTAAAAAGTTCACTATCCAACCTATTTTTTAATGGATAATATGGGCGTATAATAATTTTCTTTTAACCATTTTGCCACCACTAATGGTAATGTACTAACTCCCAGTACAAGCATATGTGCTTCCTCACGGTTCACAAATATAGCTGTCAATATAAGTTTGGCGCGCTCGTCCTGCCCAGCATAGCCCGTAATTTAATGGGATCGTGTGAAAATTTTTTAATCCCATTTAAGAATGAGATTTTTTAGCCCGACCCAAGTAAATCGGTAACACGTGAGGCTTGACCGAGGCCTATAAAAATATACCTTTAATTAAAAATATAGAATGTAAAAGAAAACGATGAACTTATAATAACGAAGAGTAGCTCAAACTGAAAGTCTATTCAACCCATCAGATTAAAAATCAAAGTCAGTATTTTAAATTTTAAACATAAATTTAAGCTGAATTAAATTATGAAATAAATAAATAATAAAATCCTAAATATCCTAAACGTTAAAAAGAAGTAGCGCTTTCATCTTTTTAGATGTGCGTGATAAAGATGATGTGCTAGTGTTGGATATGCTTAAGTGGCATAATTTTTTTAGTAGTTAGTTTGAGTTGATTTTTAGTGAATGAAATATTATCCTCCTTTTTTGTATTTTATTTTAATCTATTAGAAAATGTCAAAAGTTATTAAGTGTTACAGAAGTTTTCTACCTAACAAGATATTTTTTGAATTAATAACTTTTTATAAATATTTTTAGGTTTAAATTTTAAAACATAATAGATTTTTTAAAAAAATTAGTGGGCTAGCCCGAGGTGGTCTGTGGCCCACGTAAGGTTGGGTTGGGGTGGATATTTTAAGGCCTATCAAAATGGTACGCAGGCCCAACCCAACCTGTCAAATACCAGTCTAGTCCAAGTCATATTGACAACTCTATTCATAGATTAAAGGAGATATCTTTATTTATTTTTATTTTTGATCAATTTTAACATGAGGTGAGAATGGCATTTAAGCTCAAGGGGTTGATATAAAAGTCAATCTCCAGGGGTAAATCCATAGATCTTGCCATCAAATCTCACTTCAGCCAACCGTTTGCAGGTTTAATATTCTCTATCTGATTTAGAGGAGGAGAAAAATAAGTGATCACGAATATAGAGTTGTGTGCCTAAGGGTTAAGGGCTAGCTCTATTCGTGAGCTCCCTGTCTTTCACAGTTAAGGTGGAGAGTTAAAATCTCATCAGTAGCGTAGCAATATCCTTCTCCTTTCCTCCATCTCCTCCCTGATGTAATAAAAATAATTAAAAAAGAGATCTGTGACTATGCTACCAAGACCTACCTGCCCCTTTCTTGGTATATGGAATAAAGAGAGATTTGCAAAATGTACATCTCAACATACTACATTATATCTATGTAGCCATGCTTTTAAGTTTATAGCCACATTGCTCATTATTTTTTTGCAAAATTATTTATAGCCTCGATATACAATATTGTATAATATTGCATAATGTTGAGTACAAAGCTTGATTTCGTCTCCTATGAACTCAACTAACGAAAAACATTACCAAATAACTCAAATTTTCACCGAATAACTTCAAAATTTAACCACAATCTCAAAATGACATGTCCGACGAACTTCAATCATCAATTGTCAAAATGTTAAATTACAAAGCTCATTTATAAGTTTTCAAACTTTTAAAAATCTCAACGATTGAATTTTTAAATCACAAAACTCATTTAATTTTTCATTTTAATTCACTCAACTATGTTTAAGCCTGTAATGATAAACATAAAATCTCTCTCTCAAATTGGTTTCTAACACATATCTTCTTTATACCCTATCAATAGGTAAAATAAAGTTTTAACTTATATACAAAATAAGCTAAATTAGGTAAGAAAAAAAAAATAGAGGCTAAAATTGGTTGGGGAAGTACCCCTTGTACTTCCCCGTAATAATTTTTAAAATGAGATAAAGATCTCTCCAAAATGCACTATACACGATGTCCATAGATATTACATTATCCTTTATAATGTAATATCCATAGATATTACATTAAGGTATATAAATGAGGATTCATTTAAAGTTCACTAATAGGTGTTAGTGTGAAATTCACTAATAAATTCACTTAATGTTAGTATGTGCGATCAGAGGCGGATGCAACGTCGGGACACAAACTTTAGATGCGAAATATAAATTTATATATAAAAATTCATAATTTTTTTAATAAATAGTATGAACACATAATTATAGAAATGCACAATGAACTCAACATTAAAAGCTTAAATTCTATATCCGCCTTTTGTGTGCGATCCCAATAAAATGTTACCACAGAAGACAACGGAAGGAAAACAAATGAGAATATTATACGAGCAAAAGGAAAGGCATTGGAAAGCACAATGAAACAATATTGGCTGGTATGTTATAACATGGAATTATTCTTCCATAATCTTGGCCAAAACCTTTCGGGAAACGATTTGATTAGTCATGAATCAATTGAAAAACCTACATTAGAGTTTTTACAACACTAATCCAAAACTAAAACTAAGCCCAAAAGTACCCCATAAAGAAAACAAAACAAAATCCAAAAGAAAGAAAACAAAAGCTAAGTTCTTGAAACTAAAAAACATAACACTAAAAATTAGTAGTAGGTCAAGTGTAACACTTGTTAGTAGAATAACTTGTGGACAATTCACTACTAGGACAAGGAGAAGAATCCCAAAGCAAATTCGTCTTCCAAGCATCAGCAGCCATATTCAAAGGAAAATTATTCAAAGGAAGTAATCCAATAGATCTAACATTTCTCCATTGTTCCTCCAAATGATCCATATTGTTCACATGAGTAGCTTCCTTTAAGGTTGTTTCTTGATCATGAACACCACTACCTTCTATATTCTCCGGTAACGGTATCGAGTAATCTCCAAATATAGAAGATGACATGTTTAGAAGCAAAGAAGAAGCATCAATATTATTATTGTTCATATTGATGCATTTTGGTAATGGTAGTATTTCAGAGGTTTCAGTACAAGAAGAAAATGTGTAACTTGTAATAGGGTCATAGTTTGAGTTGAGGCTTTTGTAAAGTGGAAGATCTAATGTGGAAAAACTAGCCATATTGGATGAGGAGTTTTGTAAATCATTAATGCTACAACCACTAAATTGGATAGGTGAATTTGTTTTGTTTATCAATGAAATTTCATTTGAATAATTAGTAAAGTGGCTGCTGGTTAGAAAATCTGATGTAGTATTTTCAGGTACTGTTGGTGACACCCAAGAATGAGAAAGAGCTCTATGTGCATTGGAGTTTGCTTTCTTGAAAATCCTGCATATTGCCCATGAATCCTAAAATATCCAAGAAAAACATTACATTAGTGAAGACCGAAGAGTTTAACATCTATATACTGACAATGCAAAAAAACTTTACACTATCAAGTCATCATAAATATAACTATAGGTAATTAACTGGTATAATACATTGGATGAATAACTTAAAATAAATCCAGTTACGTACTACACTAGATTAAAATAAACTGATAATGGTAACAAAATTTTCGTTATTAGTATATATAAATAAAATCCATTAGCAAAAAGTTTAATTTCAATATGCATAGCGACCGTGTAAAGAACTTTTAACATTATCAAGTTAGCTGGTTAGATACTATAATAAATAAAATATACTGATAGTGGCGATAAATTTTTTCATTGTTAGTGTATATAAGATAAATCCAGTAGCAAAGAGTTTAACTTTTATATATAAATATTGGTTGTGAAAAATAATTTTTTATATTATCAGGTCACTTAAAAAACAACTACAATTAATTAAACGTTAAAAATTAGAATAAAAACTTAAAAATAAGGCCAATTACTTGTCACAACAGATTTAAATACACTAATAATATAAAACTAGAGTTTTGATAAGCTTACATTAGGAGGAATATGTTTGTCCAAGAATCTCTTTGGAGCAGTGGAGTCAGTGATAGAAGGTAACCTAAACTCATGCATCATCCAGTCAGTTTTAATGCCTTTTGCAGCTCTGCCTTTGTAGAAAACTAAGGATTTTTTCAAGCCAATGCATTTAGATCCTTCAGAAGAGTAAATTGGCCTATCAGTACCTGTGGCTTTCCAAAAACCAGCTCCAGTTACTCGATTTGGCCTTGCACTATTTCTATATTTTCTATCCCTGGGACAGTAGAAATACCATTCTTTTTCTCCCACTGTTGCCAACTCTGCTAGGAAACAGTAACAACAAAACAAAGGAGTAGTTAGTTTGCTTTCATCTTGTAAGGACATGAGGAAAAAGAGAAGAAATCTAGAAGAGAAAACAAAGAGTTTAACTTCTTGTAAAATCTTTTGTTTCATACTATTCGCTTATCTAAAATATAACTATAGGCAGTGGTAGAAACAAAACTTTCAGCAAGAGAATTTAAAAAATAAAAGAAGTAAACATGCTAAGAAGCAAGGGGATTCAACATCTACTAATATATATATATATATATATATATATATATATATAATAAGTTTGACCTTATACACACTGTAAGTTTTAGGCGAAGGGGGTTCAGTTGAACCCTTTCTGCCTCTCTAGCTCTGCCCCTTACTACAGGTAACCGACTAACCGTCCATAACAAGTGGATTACTTAGATGAAAAATAAGGAGATGTTACTTGTTACAATAACTAGGTTTATTTCAGTCATGATCTGATAGTGTAAAAATTTTTTAACTGCAAGCGTATACATGTTAAATCCAAAAAGAAATACCAAGGACAACATGAAAGTAGAAAGCAAAGTCATTCCATATGAAAAAAACCCCTATGAAATCTTGATGCAAAAGCATATGAATAAGCCTTTTTTTTTAAAAAGTAAATAAAAGGGTGAAGCTAAGGTTGAGTAGTTGTTTCTTACTTGGTAGATCCCATGGATCATACTTATAGATGTCAAGTTGCTTGATAAGTTCTATGGAGATAGGTTTGTGCTGAACTTTCCTCCTTAGATAAAACCCTACTAACTCTTCATCAGTTGGATGAAAACGAAACCCTGGTAGCATCACTTCATCCATTTTTTCTTTCTCATTTCTCTCTTCCATTTCTTCTCTAAAATCTAAAGAAAACAAGTTCTCTTCTTCTTTGAAAAACCCTACCTAAACAAAAAAAATTGTTTAAGGAAACTAACTATTGATCTTCCTTTGTGTTAGAGTTAAAAACCTAATATTGAAACTAAGAGAAGAGGAAAAAACTTTATAGCATGCATTCCAAATAGATAAAGTTGAAGAGAGAAGTCCAATAAATATGAGACTTAATTAGAAGTGATTATATGCTTCCTGAAGAGGGGTCTGCCTCCGAAGGATCAGCCGCCTTTTCTGGTGACTTTAAAGCTCTACGTACTTGGAGCTTGTTTTTTGCAAATATCGCGTTGGCCCTTCTATCGTCAGTGGCGGAGCCGGAATTTTCACTAAAAGTTTTAAAATATAAAAAATTAAATATACCAAAAAGTAAAGCAGAGTCAACATATAGTAAATATACATAAAACAGAAAAATTTATCTAACAATACAGTATAGTTTTTTACAAGGAGTGTCCACCCCTTGGTTGAATGTGGCTCTGCCACTGCTGATCGTGTAAAAAATTATTTATGTTATCAGATTAAGCTGATCTATAATGACAAATAGTTTCCTGTATCAGCTATGATATATGATACCTTTAAAAATAGAGTAATAACCTGCTATATATATAATCAGTTATATTATACTAATAGTGTAAGATTTGTTATACTTTCAATGTATACAATTTAAATTAAAAGGAAAAGATTTACTTATATACAATGATAGTGAATTCTTTTTACATCATTAGTATATTTTAACTTGCTTAGATAGGTAATTTACCTTATTTTTCAGGTTACTAATCATGATTTTTAAAAGAACGATTACTTATAGTCATCTTATAGGTGATCTGAAAGTGTTAATAAAATTTACATTGTAAGTGTATAAAAGTTAAGTTAAAAAAAAAATGCAAGAATCACGTAGCAAGAAACTCTAAGGTCAAGGGAAAAATGGATTAATGACTCTTATTTCTCACTTCAAGGTCTAGTTGTACCCATTTGTAATTTGCTTAGTCCAAAAGGAAGAATCTCAAGAAACTCGCCAAATTGACCCTTCTAGGGATTAGGATATTAATTGTTATTTTCATGACTATATTATATGTTGGAAATAAAATAATGTGTATATATCAAGACAAAGCTAACTCCCAAGTACTTATATTTTATAAATAACTAATAGTTTGAATAGCTATTTGGAAACACAGAGTCACAGACCAAAAACATTTCCCAAGGCAAAAGCACAAAATTATATTCAGATATAAAATTCCCTATGAGACTAACCACAGACTTATGATTATTTTTTAAATATTTAGAAGCTATAGTTTTCTCAGGATCCTAAAATCCATTTCCTTCTATTCCATTCTTTCTCAGCTTCTATTCCACTGACTTGTCAGATCGAATACACTTTCTGCTAAAGTAAGTAATTGACTATACTCAAAGATACTCTCCAGCTAAGGTAATTAAGGGCAGCTTATCTTATTATGAAAACTTGAGGGGTATTTTAGGGACAATAGATCCTAAATTAGAACAGTGTTAAACTACCCTAGTTGACCCTTTTGGGGTGCACAAACAAATTCAAAAGCTTTTAGTCATTTGATTTTGACTTTCTTGTCCTAACATATTTCAAACCCTCAGACATTTTTTGGCCTTGAAAGTTGAATTAGTAGCTAAATCCCAAGCTTGTTTATTTGGACCTTTTTACCTAATGGAGTATCTCTTATCCTTAATATACTTGAAAAAAATGCTAAGAAACATTATACTATTGTTTATTCGTCCTTTCTTTTTTCCTTTTCATCAATTTTAGGATTAGTTGTGAATATAAAACAAGTCACAAGAAAATCTCAAAAGACTAATTATTCCTTCAATGGAATAATATTATTTCAAATATAACAAGCTTTGTCACGACCCAGAATCCCCACCCTCTGGACCGTGATGGCGCCTAATATTTCACTTGCTAAGCTAGCCAACGTTAGAAATAGTTTCTAGCCATTTTAACAAATCCAATTAATTTATACCAAGAAACCGAATAAAACTGAATAAACTAAGATAACAATGATGTCTAGATTCAATCCCAGAACTGGTATCACAAGTTCACGAGCGACTAGAGTACTACAATTAAAAGTCCGAATGAAAGCATAACTGTCTGAAGTACAATAAGCAACTAGAGAGATATGAAAGGGGACTTCAAGGCTGCGAACACCGAGCAGTTATAACTCAAGTCTCCGTCAGGCAATCAATCCGGGCAATCTACTGATCGCCACTAAGACTGACTCCAAAATCTGTACAAGAAGTGCAGATTGTAGTATGAGTACAACCGACCCCATGTACTCTGCCAGTGCCAAGCCTAACCTCGACGAAGTAGCGACGGGGCTAAGGCGAGTAACTTACAATAACATGTAAGTGACTAATAATAATAGGAAAGGAAAACAGGAAATAACAGCGAAGTAGTAAACTAATGAAAACAACTAAATCCTCGAAATCAATGGATCCAGAAATATCATCCCTCCGAAGATCATATGAAAGTACTGGAAGCTAACACAATACAACAATGAATTCATCACACACAAACCGTCGTGGCGCGCAACCCGATCCCACCGTACAAACACAATCCTCCCTTATTTCACCATATCAATATCAAGAATAACACATAAAATCTGTTGCGGCGCGAAATCCTATCCCACCATATAATCAGAATCAATATCGTAATCCTCCCTTATTTCACCATATCAAAATCACATATAAAATTCGTTGCGGCATGCAACCCGATCCCACCATATCAATATTAATCCTCCCTTATTCCACCCGTTGCGGCGTGCAGCCCGATCCATAAATAAAATAAATAAATGCAATCAATTCAACAACTCAATTCACGAGAATCTCTATAATTAAAGAATATGAAAGCTAAGCAAAAAGAACCCCTGTACCAAATCAAGGAATGCTACGATTGATATAAAGCAACAAGACAAGCAAAATATATGACAGTTAAAGTGTACAAGTAACGCAATGTGACGACCCAAAGGGTCATCACCGGATTTCTCTTTTTCCGTACTTCCGAGGCCTTGAAAACCTCACCTTTAGTTGCCTCGATTTGCATGCGCAGTACGGACGCGTAGCCGGAAAGATTATATATTAAATTCTGTGAAAAGTTTCAAAATGTGGCTTTAAAATGATTAAAGTTGACTTCGGTCAACATTTTTGGTAAACGGACCCGGACCCGGACCCGTAAATTGACGGTCCCGGAGGGTCCGTAGAAAAATATGGGACTCGGGCATGTGCCCGGAGTCGAAATCCGAGGTCTAGAATCCGAGGAAAAGAATTTTTCTGTGAAATTGTTTTTCTGGAATTATTAAGGAAAATAGAAATGAAAATTGATTAAAAGACTATGGTATCGGGCTCTTATTTTGGTTACGACGCCCGGAACAAGTCTTAAATATGTCTTAAGCGCTTTTTGTAAAGTTTGGTCGAAATTGGACGTCATTTGACGTGTTTCGGACCTAAATATCTAAAGTTTGAAGTTTATGAAATTAGAATGAAAAATGAGGAATTTGAGGTTTGATTCATTGATTTTGATGTTATTTTGGTGATTTGATCGCACGGTTGAGTTCGTAGGATGTTGTTGAGTTAGTGTATGTGTTTGGTAAGGAGCCCCGAGGGCTCGGGAGTGATTCGGAGTGTTTTGAACTTAGTGAAAATTGCAGAAAACTCAGTTCTGGTGTTCTGGTATTTAGTTCTATGCGATCGCATAGGTTGCTTCGCGATCGCATAGTGTAGCCTTCTATGTGCCCATATTTGTTCTATACGATTGCATAAACTCTTCCGCGATCGCATAGGTTTGCCAGCTCCTTCAATGCGAACGCAATTGATACTCCGCGTTCGCACTTCGTTAAAGTCCAAACCTGGACTGCCTATGCTTTTCCTCTATGCGTTCGCAGAATGACTTATGCGATCGTGATGATTTATTTCCCTTTACCCTGTGCGATCGCAATGCCTTCTCCGCGATCGCATAGGGCATTTTTGCCCAGTTAATTTTAAAAGCTCAAAACAGACTCATTACGGGATTATTCCCATTTCTTCATAAAACTTGTCTTCTCCAAGCTCTAGGGGCGATTTTTGAAGCTCTTCTTCACCAAAGTCTTTGGGTAAGTAATTTCCCACCTAATTCCTTGACTCTTCTTCATTAATTACTGAAATTCTAGACCTAAATCATGAAATCAAAGTAGAAATTAAGGATTTTGGGTAGAGTTAAGTTTTTGAGAATTTTGGGTGATTCAACCTCAATTTGGGGTCGAATCTTAAAACAAATTATATATTTGAACTCGTGTGTTATAGGTGATTGGGTTTTGATCCGAGCCTCGTGTTTGGACCATGTGGGCCCGGGGTTGAATTTTGGTATTTTTGGAAGAATGCTAGGAAATTCATATCTAGGCTATGGGATGTTGCCATTGAGTCTTTATTGATATTATTGAGTTAATTATGCCTAGATATCATTGTTTCAGAGTCGGATTGTAGAGGAAAGGCGGTATTTGAGGATTGATTGCTATTCTTTGGACCGAGGTAAGTGTTTGATCTAACTTTGGCTTGAGGGTAATAGGAT